GGCTAAAGGATACCGCGGTGAATAGAAAGGACAAGGAAGGGATATCACCTCTCTAGACACAGAAATGTGGGCTACGTAGTGCCCTGCGGTCGCAGTGGCGATTTTCAAACGTACCCCATTATCACGGGCCACAGTCGTCTCGAGAGATACCAATATTGCAAACCACTCGTTATTACTCCAAACCCGCAGCACTTTAAACACACAGATAGCATATGACGTCTGGGAATGACAGACAAAATTTTTCACTCTGTGGACAAATAATCAACAAAACTTAATAGCAGTTTATAGATAACCTCTGGCTTGTTACAGTTTAAAAAGCTGTTTAGGTCCCGGATCGGTTAAACTCGCCCACTTATCTCATACTGTGATAAGGCGACGAGCCTTTTATTGCGGGTTATTTGCTGTATCGTTCCAGTCACGTATGTGTGCCTTTTTTATTTAAAGGATAACCGTGAAATAGGAAAGTCCGAGAAGGACATTCACCTCACTACACACGCAGTATAGGTGTAAGGTGCAATGGCTGAGTCTATATGCCATTTTTCAATGTTCACCCACAGGCCAGACATTCCACTCTCATTTTTTAGCCTACGTACAGTACTGATGGAAGCACAATGTCCTAAGGCATGAACATCCACTCGGGCAAATATTTACAACAAATCTGTCAGCTTTGGGAGGGTGGCCCCACTGTATTACTTTCAGCAAGCTTTCTCTGAAGCCGTCTTCTTTTTTCCGAGCCTGTTTACTAAAATATGTTTTCAAAATCTGCCTTCACCATCATCCTACGTCACACCATCACTATACTCATATCTGACAGGGAGTTTCACACTGGCGATGGGCTAAAGATTACCAGGTGAATAGAAGGGTCAAGGAAGGGATATTCACCTCGCTAGATCACAGGCAAAATGGGTGTATGCCTGCGGGTCCGCAGTGCGATTTGCACAGGTCATTCAGTGGGCCCACAGTCTTCGCAGAGAGTTTACCAACACTGTACTAACTTGTTAATTACTCCAAACCTCCGCAGCACTTACACATCTAGCACACGTGTCTGAAGACAGACAAATTTCACTACCTAAGAACGATTCTCACATCACCGAAGGTACGGCCGGAACACTGTAGAACTTCACAAGGCGCTTTGCTTTCTGAGCGCTGTTTAGCCTGGACAGCTAAATTCGCCCTTAGCCCATATGTAGATAATGGCGACGAGTTTAAGGATACCGGTGAATAGGAAAGTCGAGGAAGGAGACAATGTCACCTCACTAGACACACGCAGTATGGTGTAAGTCGGCATGCCGGGTTTATAGTGCCATCATTCAAGGCACCAGCAGCCAGACATTCCCCACTTCATTTTAAGCCTACTAGGTACTTGATGGTACACAATGCGTACCTAAGGCATGAATCCACTCATGCAAATAGTAACAACAAATTCTGCAGCACTTAACACGTCAGCACAAACTTACTATGTGTTAATAGGTGAAACCTCTAGCATGGCCCACTTTAAAAAGTCCGTACTGCAATCCGTTAAGCTTGTTTTCTTACTAAGGCCACTAGAGGAAACACTGGGTACGTGCCAAGCAGACTGTAGAACGTATGACGTAACATGCTGGGGGTCAGGAGCTGTAACTGCACGCTGCCTTACTTGTTCCTGGCTACAGCTTGGTATACACTGCTTTCAAGCCTTGCTCTTGAATGTGGCTTGCTAAGCCCGGGCAACCACTTGGATATTATGCTTTAGCAGCAGTAGGCACACAGAGACATTGTCGTATGATGAGGTGGAGACTGGCGGCACAGAGGACTGCAGGGCACTCAAGCATTTTATGTGGTGTAGCAGACAGCGAAATGAAGGTGAATGGAATGAAATAAGGAGTATCAATCACCCACAGTTAAGTAACCCCTTCTAGTTATAGCAACTGATACTGGCCATTAGCGTATGTTGTAAATGAATAGGTTATGAGTGATCCAGCTACCTCAAGTGACCACCAAGAATATCTGGGAATGTGGAGAGGATAATGTACAAGTGCGTTTTTCCTTGATGGATATATCCATGTGTATCCTAACCCCCCCCCTTCAGTCAGTTACACTAATATAATCCTATACAGTCCACAATTAAATTAGTAGCACCGTACTTGTGGGTGCTATCTCATCCATACTGGTCTCGGATAGTATGGATATGATTGTGAGCTCGATAGGACCACCTCCGTGACCAGGGGTGGTTAAGTGTTTCTCACATGTCTACACGAGTGACTAACTGGTAAACAATAAGTTGTCTCACCAATGAGATTTACTTGTAATGTATTAATGTTGAGTACATACAGTAATCACCCCTAGAAAATGTTCCAACAAAGGCTATAATTTGTGAGTTTAGCAAGTGAAAGTTTTGCGTTGTTTAGCACAATACAACAATCAATATTTGCACCAGGACACTCATTACAGTTAGGTGACCGGGTGTCGGAATGTGAATACTGCCTTCATTACACTATAATTTGTTCATGATTGTAGCCATATATAAACTAGTAACCATTCTACAGATATTCATTACTTTGTAACTTGTGAGCTCATACCTTGTACCTAGTTCAACCATACCAAGACTTTGGGGCCCAGTCCTGATCCATTACGTACCTCTGAACTCTTAAATACGTTGTAACTTGTCATCCGATTGTGACTAGACCTGACCCGAGTTCATTACCTTTTGTACTTTGTGAGTTCATTAACCTTTGTAAATTGTGAATTCATTTACCTCTGTAACTTGCTCAGCTATCAAACGTTGGAGTCCAGATCCTGGAACACAAATTATGTACCTCTGTAATCTTTTGACTACCGCCCACAGGGATGGGTATGGGTTGCATATAGAACATATTAAACTAACAAAACACAATACAAGTGTCCCCTATAATTGGAGTACATAGCTAACTATGACTAGTTAAGATTCATTATTTAAGATTTAATTACATATTTCGGGTATTATAGGTCAGTGGTGAATGAGTGTAATTGACTGAACCACCCAGGTGGTTCACAGCATGTAGTTAGTTGTCGGGTATCAGGACATAAGATGTTTTCTAACTGTAGTTTGAAAGCGTTGGTGAGGTGTCTGCAGTTCTAGAAGTTTTCAGGTAGGGTGTTCCAGATTTAGTCCTTTGCAAAACATTGAATTTTTGTAAAGGGTTAGTTGGACACGGGAATGTCATAGAGATCGTTTGTCTGGTGTTCATGCCTGTGGATCCTGTCACAACTATCAAGAAAGCGTTTTTAGTCAAGTTAATGATTGGACATTTAAGGTCTGTAGATATAGATTGCACAGTAGCAAGTACGGATTTCTGAACAGGAGTAAAGATATTAGATCTATGAAAAGAGGGGGGAAGGGGTGCCAGTGATGGATTTAGTGATTATTCTTACTCTGCGCTTTTTGTTGGGGTTTATATTGGCTTTACGTGTGGTGCTGCAGTTTTACCCAAGCACAGATAGCAGAGGTGAGTATGGATAATTAAGTGAATGGTAATAGTGTGACGAAGGGCAGTTAGCGGCACGTAATATCCGTATCTTAGAATGACCCAACCGTTTGGATACTTTTTTGTTTATGTTTTGGATATGTGTGGCTTGAAATTTAGTTGTTGTCGAGGTATAAAAGGCCAAGGAATTTGCCCTCATTAATGTATCGCAATTAGAGATGTTGTCCGATCATAATGTGCTAAGCGTTGCGCAACACCCCTGCTCCTGCTACAGACATAATATAGTAAGGTTTTGGTCCAGTGTAATGTAATTTTATTGCTGTCTTCCAAGTCCGATATTTTAGCAGCTCCTCGTTAACAACGGTGTTGAGGTGGCAAGATTAGGGTGGAGATGACAAAGTAGTGTCGTCAAGCAAAAGAATTGAAATGAGGAAGACAGCAGGGGTCAAGGACACTGATCCTGCGAACTCCAGCATAAAGTGGCCATAATTGATGAGGCTGGTTGTCTTTAATGGTGATTATATCTGATACCTTTAGAAAAGGTAGGATTTGAAATATGCAAGCGCATGGCCCTCTTGTACCATAGAAGTCAAGGTTTGGGAGTTAGGATGCCGTGGTCAATCTGTGTCAACAACGCTTTTCTTGGGTCAATAAAAATTCCTCAGCGATATTCCTTATGGTCCAATTGCGTGTAAAGGGTTTCCTAAGTGGCGACAGCGCCTGTATACCCTTGTGGCTTAGCGCTTCTTTTTGATTATAAAATAATAATCCTAGTGCTAACCCTGTAGGTTACTGCTGCGGCAGGACATTAAACGATGTGAAATTAAGACACAGTGCAACATCTGGGTAAAGAATAACCCAGATGCTGCACATTGTCCGTAAATCCATCTTGATGGTATGGCGCTATACATTCTTGTACATCATAAACTTATGTACAGCCTGGTTGATCACAACCCTGATCTCCCGCGAAGTCCCCGGTCATGGACCGGCCACGGACGTTTGACAAAACCCGAAATCCCCTCCAGTTTACCCAGTATTAGCTCATAACAGCCTGTATGCCCGCATGGCCATTTTCTTATCTTTTGGTTTGCTATAATACCCAAAACCTACCGAAAGAGCCACATGACAAGCGTACATGGAGGGATTGACCGGGAAGGGGATGTACGAGGGGTGGTGGATGTAAGGCCTTATGAGGGCATCATCTGTGTTTCAGAAACATTTGTTGAGGACAAAGGTTTCATTTCGTCAGAAAACTCATTATTAGCTTATTGTTAGGTATGTTTGAATTTAGTTTGATACTGGAATACGTTGAACCAAGTACGGATTAGCTTATAAAAATGACAAATAAGACACTCTAGTTCAACGTTGTGGTCGATGCAGCTGATCGACTCAGTAAAATAGCTCATAATTTACGGGATAACCTATGCACTGAAGTTGTAGCCGAGAAAACAAACCAAGGTGTGTTATTTTGATGTTAAATGTATTTATACCGAATACGACATATAAAACATGGCGAGTAAAACATACGCTTTCAAGGGTAATCGAGGAGACAGCAGCGGCAGTGGTAGTGTAGTAGCCTCGTGGTGCCAGTCATCGCTCTCCTCCCACGCAATTTTATCCCCTGGTTTTGTTTGTTTTCACTGAACCAACTGGGTTTTCACACAAATAACCTGTTTACAAGACTGTCAGGACCGTTATACGTTTTGCAGGTGAGCTCCTGCTTAATATATTTCACAAATATTGGTATTATTATGGATTGATTAATCTTGGTGAGCTCCAAGCATAACCGCGACCCATAAATTATTATCCCCGGACTACACCACTAAATGGAATATGCCAGAAATAATCAATAATGATATGTGTTCTAATTGTATGATACCAAATAAATAACTACATACTAGAATTACCAATTATTTCTCTCTACATTTCCGGATAAATTATTTTCTCTTCGTGAATTTTGGACAAATGTTATTGTGTTAGGATGGCAGGTAGTCAGAGCTCTCCAACCTCTCATAATTCCATAGCTTCTGCTGAATATATATGCATCTTACGTAATATTGCTTCCAGGTTCTGTCCAGGTGGCTGTATAATGAGTGAGAGTCAAGAATGGTTAAAATAGAGCTCTGGGCCCTTGAGTAATGAGACGGCTATTGTGTGGGCCTGGAAAATATTTTTTCCCTGGATAAAATTTTTTATTTTTGGGCTCTATTTTTGAGTTTTCGACTAGCCTTCATTGTAGAGGAACTGAGATTTTTACCTTACATAACTCAAGGACCCCATGGGAATAATTAAATTTGTCTGACTTTTTTGGGTTATCCAAGGTAATACACATATGCTGCTATGTATGATAATTTATGTAACTGTATTTATGTGTACCTGAATTAGCTTAATAAACATCAAGCACTGCTAGGTAAATGAGTAGGCTATTATTATTGTTAGCTTTTGCTATTTTACATTAATTATTAATTTATTATTTTTAGGGTCATCTTAGATAAATGACACATTACCATGTATGTGATGAATGGTTTGGAAAAACGACAAAAAGCTAAGATTGAGAACCCTTATTTATGCAACATATGGGAGTCTTCATTCAGTGAACGTTTCGCCACACAGTGGCTTCATCAGTCCAGTACAAAGCAGAAGGTGTAAGAAGAGGAGGAACATGAGGTAATCCGTCCCTCACCTGGAGTCGATGTGTTCAGATCCATTTCTACAAGATTGATGACGAACACATCGACTCCAGCTGAGGACTGATTAACCTCATGCTCCTCCTCGCCTTATCACCTTCTGCTTTGTATTTGGAACTGATGAATCCACTGTGTGGCAAAACGTTTTTCTGAATAAAGATCCCATATGTCATCATAAGTGTCCAATCTTCCACATTACTCATGTAAGGCAATTGTAACAAAATGACGAAAAACATGTGTGATGTGACCTTAAGTACTGTGTAATTTACCTAATCAACTTCTACTGCATAATTCAGGAAATGCAAACCCATAGAGGCATAATGCATTGGGGGGAAAGTAAGTTTTATTCTGCTACACAATATACTTACTTAAGTTATCATACTTAGCCAGCAAATGTGTAGATTACCTAGAATAACCCACAAAAGACCAGACAAAGTTTACTTATTCCATTGGGTAAACAGCTTCTAAAACAAAACCTATAAAGTTAAAACAGGTATTTAATTTAAACTGTGAAACAGTAGTCTTCAATATAAAAGAGATATACTATGGCCAAGTAACAATTTTCAAGTTTTTGTTGCATATATATTATAAGATAAGATCAGCATACATTTATGTTAGATATACAAGAATCACTTACTTCTCTGTCTGTAGCCACCACACTCATTAGCACCCGTTGGCTTTCTCTTGAACTTGCCATAAGCTATGGCAGCTTGACATGGCAGGTAGTCTGTTCTCCACGCTATATTATTGCTGTGGTCATAAAATTTACTTACACAACCTTACCACATGACTGTGGTACAGCAAATTGTTTTTCCCTTCCCCTAGTACCATAAATACTTAGGTTACTAACACGCCTTGACAAATTGGCAGCAAGATATTCTGGACACGGGTTTTTGTGCAGTTTATAAAACAAGTATGCTACTTTAGGGCGTTGTTTACATTCAGCATATCCAGATTGAATCATCCGGCCTACATGTTCTCTTGGAACCAGTTTCCAGGATATATCTCTACCAATTTTGTTCTGGCAAATATTAGTAGTCTTTGTAGTTTTTTTGTCACGGCAGAATGTCCCATGAAACAGCGTAATCAGTAAAACATTGTATGAAAAATAATAATATAAATAAAATATAATTTTATTTCTTTGCTAAGGGTTACTCTGTTGCATACATATCATAATTTAATTGGTACAAAGAAGGCCACTTATCATGCTGAGCATATTGGGGCAGACTTAAACCTAATACAGAGGAACCTCAAATTTCCCTACTTAATCTTATCCAGAGCTAGCTCTAAATTCGAAAGAAGTTGGAAAAGCGATGCAGATACTTCCCATAAGAAATAATGGGAAATACATTAATCCGTCTTCAAGAAACCCAAAATTATTCCCCCCCCCCCCCAAAAAAAAAAAAATACTTTTAGAGATTAATTATAGTTTTTTAATACATACAACTAATGTGTACAATTAATGTATAAATATTTAAATAAACATATACAATATAATAGTTTTTTCGCTCGCCTTTGTTGAAGATTGATGATGGCATCAAGGAAGCTTAGTGCGGAAGAGAGGGAGTTGGGTTTTGTGTTTGAGGAAGGGGAATCCCCTTCAACTCCTTGCCTTTTCACAAATATCGTCTCTGTAAATACGCCACCTGCCTCTCTTTAGTCCTTGATCTACACCAGACAACAACTCACCCACACTGATTGAATTGTCCTGTGGTCTTTTTTTTGGAGATTAGCATATTAAACACCTTCACAACAGCAGCTTCCTTGTTTGTTCGTTACAATTTGCCAGATAGAATCGATGATTGAACTTGTTTTTTCCATACATCCTGCAACTCAACAGGTTTTTCACACCACTCCATACTCCTGTATTATTTCCTTCAAATCTATGGTGTTTCTTATACTTTCTTTACCACAGGGTACAACACAAGTTCTGAGCCCCATGCTAGCTTTATTTTACAGTCCCACAAGCACTAAACACAAGGAATTAATTGGAATAAATGTTGAAGAGACTGCAGGTTAGACGTCACTCAATCATCAGCAACAAAGCCAGACTGCTCAAGGCAATTGCGACAGGGATGCGAACAGACGGCTGGTGGAGCAGTCCCAGTACCTCAGTTTGAAAAATAAGGGCAGTTCGACATAATAAGGACATAGGTGGTTTGAAAAAGCGTTCGAATTTTCAAGGAGTTCGATAAGACGAGACTTCGAAAAATTGAGGTCAACTGTTACTTAATAACAGACTCGTAAGTAGTAATTACATTCAGTAATACACAAATAAAGTTACGGTAGATTATCACATATCAGCATATGTGTAGAGAACCTAAGATAACCCCAAAAAAGTCAGAAGTGACTTATTTCCATTGGAGTCACTTTATCAGATAGGTGAAAGTGGTAGAATACAAATATATTCAATATTTTACTCTATTATTGAAGGAAGGCAGTACAATTTATGAATAGCGATAACATACATTTTTTAAGTATGTAATTTTTTTATTATTAAAATGAGGTGGTACAATTAATGATATAAACATACATTTTTAAGTTTGTTAATAATGGCGTAATACACTTAAGGCTTAGTTTTTAATATGTTTATTATGTACCATACCCTCCTAATGATAGGGTGCATAAATAGGTCCCAGGACTGGGCCCCAAAGTTTGATAGCTGAGAAAAGTACAAAGGTAAGTAAGTTTATTCAGGTACACACAAATACAGTTACATGTATATAGATTATCATACATAGCAGCATATGTGTAAGGTACCTAGGATAACCCAAAAAAGTCAGACAGAGTGACTTATTTCCATTAGGGTCCTTTAATGAACTCCAGATAGATCTGGTCACAATCATGACAAGTTACAAAGGATATTTACAGATTACAGAGGTACATAATGGGTTCAGGGACTGGGCCCCCAAAGTTTTGATACCTGAACTAGGTACAAACGTAATGAACTCGCAAGTTATAAAGGTAATGAATCCTGTAAGTAAAGTTACTTATTAACGTTTATACATGGCTACAATCATAAACAAATTATAGAGTAATGAGCAATTCACACATCCACACCCGGTCACAACTATGAGTTATTGATGCAAATATTAATTGTTCGGTCTCTCTCTGTCTCTCTGTCTGTCTCTTTCTCTGTCACTGTCTGTGTGTCTGTGTCTCTGTCTCTGTCTCTGTCTCTGTCTGTGTCTGTCTCTCTCTCTGTCTCTCTCTGTCTCTCTCTCACAAATAGATGAGTACACAAACACACGCACGAGTACAAGCACTCAAACATACATGAGTACACAAATACACACACACACACACACACACACACAAAAAACACACACACACACACACTGTACTAACAGATTAGTAAGTAAGTAAGTTTATTCAGGTATACACAAATACAGTTACATAGATTATCATACATATCAGCATATGTGTAGAGAACCTAGGATAACCCCAAAAAAAGTTAGAAAGTGACTTATTTCCATTGGAGTCCTTTAGTCTAGACAGGTGAAGTGGTAGAATACAAATGTTCAATATTTTACTCTGTTATTGATAGGAGGCAGTACAATTTATGATACATACATACATTTTTAAGTATGTATTTTTTTTATTATTAAAATGAGGTGGTACAATTAATGATATAAACATACATTTTTAAGTTTGTAATAATGGCTTAATAGTTAAGGCTTAGTTTAATATGTTTATTATGTACCCCATACCCATCCTGTGGGTGATAGTCAAAAGATTATAGAGGTACATAATAGGTCCAGGGACTGGGCCCCAAAGTTTTGATAGCTGAGAAAGTTACAAAGGTAAGTAAGTTTAATCAGGTACACACAAATACAGTTACATGTATATAGATTATCATACATAGCAGCATATGTGTAAGGTACCTAGGATACCTAGGATAACCAAAAAAGTCAGACTTATTTCCATTAGGGTCCTTTAATGAACTCCAGATAGATCTGGTCACAATCATGACAAGTTACAAAGGATATTTACAGATTACAGAGGTACATAATGGGTTCAGG